TGCCTGTTTGAAAACCCAAAAGCAATCAATAAATACGAGAATGAAGTTTTTGTAATACAAGCAGATAATCGGCATCAAATTGTTGAAATACCAGTGGCTTAACAAGCAAAGATGTGTATATCAGGAAAGGATTTTACTGTTTACTCAAAGCAAACAACTGATTGACTTTGTAATCCTGCAGGCTAAGAGGATGATAGCTCTATTCTCGAAGAAAATTGATATACACTGGATAAATGTATGGATGGAGGAGACGTCATCTTTTATTGCACTGGAGAGACAGACACACATCACAAAAGGAAGGACAAAAGAATTTGAATGTGTGTGGAAACCAAGCGGCTACCTTTGGTGTTGAAAGATGGAGCAATGTGGAGCCATGTTGAAGTGCAAAATCCTGCAGTTTGTCGAGTGTCCGCTTGAGGCTTTCCGCAGGAGTACCGAAAGTCACTTTCACTCCCCGTCAAAAAAAAAAGACTTCCTTCTGACGAATATTGTCTCTTTGCAGTTTTCTCCCAGGTAGGTCTATATAGCGTTTCCAAACTTTTTTTGTTGCTGAAAGTCATCATCTGCCTGCTACTGCTGAGGGCTATGATAATAAGAGTGTTAAGACTGAATCAAATCAGTTGTTAGCCTGAAAACCCTAATCTAACATGATCTTAAAGATGTAAGAGTTATCAAGTGAGAGAAAGAAACTCTTTTCATGCAGCTACTGTCTCGATAATTCCCTTTAGTGTTTCCTTTACATGATACAGAGTCATTTGGAGTTTTTATCATATTAAAAAGTATTGATTAGTGTGGCTTTTAAAGCAGAACATTAGTAAACATTTACTATGGTAGCAAAAAAAAAAAAAGGATCATCTGTTGATTAGTAAATGTTTCAGGATAACAAACCTCATGTAGAGAATACTACTAGATAGTCTAACCACACAGTGCTGGTTTTAAAGTGAAACTGGGTGCATTTAACATTTGAATTTTTTTCTACAACATGAAGTTTATGCACACTTTCATTTAAGTTTCTTACCCTGAAAGCATTTTTTCCTGTGCCAAGTTTTCACTGTTTGAGGCACTTTATTAAACAGGGATGTTTTGCTGTTAAGGTTGTACATTTTTTTTTTTTTTACCTTGCCTCCAGCTCAGCAATACTCCTCTGTGAGTAACCTCCACGATTACACTGCAGCACCATCAGCAGAGATGGAGGAGCAGGATTCTCTAATGAGAAACAGTCGACCTGAGCGACATACAGTTGTATCGCACAGAATTACAGCGGTATACCAAAGATCAACAACATAACAGAGAACACGTCGCTGCTCTTGTATTCATTAAACAAAGATTAAGCATTAATAGTTTTAACATCATGTTCTTATCAGAAAATGATTATTTAAATTAAGCAAACACATTTCTTACTATAATGTTAGTTAAAAGGGGCTTAAAAGTAATAAGATGTGAATCAGCATTATACTAATTTGACTACAGTGTTACAGTGTACTAAAATAAACTGCTGTATTCAAAGTGAACACTGTGGTAATTTTATTATTAATTAAAATAAAGTACTGACTATTTCCCTCTGCAGATAGTTAAGACAAAAACAGATTTAAAAAGAGTATAATGAACTTAGGTTAGCCTGCTGGCAACAACACAACCCTATATTAATGCTAGTGATTCTTTATAAATACTTCAGATTTACTTTTTTTGCTAACATGTTGCCTATAACAACTTTATCAGTTAAATACTTGTCATTGTTGTGCTTACAACTTCTTGTATAGCACAAGCTCCCCCCCCCAAAAAAAAAAAAAAATCAATATGGTGGTAATATGGCAGTTTCTTCCCATTGGCTTATTATCACTGTTCTATAAAAAGCTATTTTGTTACATACAATATCAAACAGTTTCCTCTTTTAAATATTAAGAGAGCAGACATTGAGCAAGAGCCTCTCTTTGAAGGTAATTATGGCCTTTTAAGCCTTTATGTCTTAATGGGCAGCTACAGACAGACAGAAAATGTGGACACAGAGTGCAGGGGATGACATGTTCCTAACAGTGTCAGGATCAGGAGTTAAATCAGCGACCTGTTTTATGAGGACTATAACCTCAGTACAAAAGGTGCTCGCTGTAAGAACTGAGCTCAACCAGTGACCCATGTAGAGTCACAGTTTGTCCATCTACATCATTCAAAACCCATATTTTCTCTATTTTCAGCTCTAATTTTTGACTCCCACAATGTTAAAGGTAAAGATCTCTCTTTTTTAGCTGCTAAACGGTCAACTTTGTTTACCGGCTAAGTTGCAAGCCAGATAAACAAAAACATCTCATCGAACTGAGAGGAAGTCCAGACTTAATAATCTCTGGGTTCATCACTATAAATAACCCTTTTAACTATGAACATGCTACATTGTTAATATAAAAAAACTGGATCTAGAAATACTAACTGACCCATTTGAGCATCATTTGTTTTTTTATAAACAACAATATATTAAAAAACTATCATTAAAATGTAAATAGAGTGAGTATCCGGCCCTTTCTTTTGTGTCTATTTTTAAAAAATGATGGTGATAACAATGTCACTGGAAAGAATTTACAAGATATGAATCTGAATCATTTGAGCCATTATCCCACTCAGATTTGTCATGCGCTGCTGCCAGCTCCATCACTGCAGGAATGTTTACACGTTGAGATCTTAGGCATCAAATTGCTCTGTAACCCAGAGCAGGTACAGTGATGGAGAGATAAATTAGACTATCTTCTTGTAGACACTTGTAAACCTTGGATGTGCTGTGAGGTTCCGTCTAACAAGGAGGTGAAATATGAGTGAGATGCATGTTTATGAGAGCCTTTATATGTGCCAGGATGATGGTTTGTTGCCTCTCCGTTCCCTGGATGTTTTCCACGCTGCTTGTTTCGGAGGCTGCCACCTCTGCTAGCTTCAATAAACAGTCACTACCTATATCAAAACCTCTAAGCCAGACCAACAGCATGATCAAGAGGCACACCTGAGGTGAACCCTGAGGTAATCTACCCTTCTGCCTCACTCTCTGTGCTACTCTCTTTATTTATTTCTCTCTGCTTTTGTGATTTACTCATTTATATGCTCTCCCCGTGTGCAATAGGAACAATATCTTGCAGTGTCACATCTTTGATTTGGCTACACAGAATCCTACACAATATCATGTCATGATAATCTAAGACTTTCATATACTAGGTTTTTTTTTTCTCTATTTCCTACTCAGGACCCTGTGACCTGAGTCCATTTCAAATACAGCCAACCGTGCACTTTGCCACACATCCTTCTTGTCTCTGTCTCCCTCAATCTCCTTCTTATTCTCAAGTTAGCGCCCCACTTCCCAGAGCAGTCATAGCCGGGAAGACAAATATCCGTTTGCCCGGGTCACTGTTCATATTTTCCACCTTATGGAGTGAATTCACCTGTACTATACAAGATGAATGGTTGGAGCACCCTCAGTGGGAAATGGATGTAGTTAAACAATCCGACAGCCGTTCTTCCTTCCTCCATCCAGCTGAATGGACATACTCAAAAAATGTGAATGGGAGGTGTGAAAAGGCCAACCACTGAAAGTAATTGCTGTTGTGTTCACCAGAAAGAGAGAAAACAACTTACAAGGAAGTTGTTTGCAGCGCACCAGGAGAGCCACATATCAAATTGCCCGTGCAGACAGACGTGGCAAAGGTTCAGTCGAGCGAAATGAACTAATTCATTTTAAAGCGTGAATTCTCTGCTATTCTGATTCTTATTCTGACAGACAGGCTGAACACAAACACCAGTATTAACACTGCTGCACCAGCAACCTTCACACATTGATGATTTTGATGGGCAGCAAGAGACAAGTGTTTGAAAAATGTGCACTCTGATTTACTGCATCATGTATTGTGATGTCAGTAAGCTACGCACAGCAGTCTTATGTCCTAAATCCTGGCTCACCTGTGATGGTTTAAACCAAAGGCTATCATGGGGCGGGGTTTGCCCTCATTTGCCCTCTTGAACACGGGTCAGTCTATCTATTTTCTGGCCAAAGCACTGTGTTTAGCTGTTTTTAAATTCATTTTAAAACTTGATTTAGATTAGAATGCCAGCAAGAGGGGCCTAAATGGGGTTGTACATAATACTTGCCCATCCTCTTAAAAAGGTTTAAAACCACAGTTTAGTCTTGTTGTGATTATAAACATCAGTTGGTTTGGTGAAATACAACAGGTTTTGGCACTCTAGTCTGTTAAGCTAATGAGCTAATTAACAACTGAACTACTTTTGCAGAGTGGATCATGTCGATGGTGATGATTGTTAACTTCAGAACCGAGGATGATAACTTTGGAGGACATTTTGGTGGACAATGAGGACGAAAAGAAACACGATGTAAAGGACTTTTTAAACAAAATACATTAATAAGGAAGTGAGCGTCACAAGCTTACAGTAACATACTCCTGCTTTGTTATGTGCTGCTTCTGGCTAACACTGCTACAGCTATCTGGCTGCTGCTAGCAAACTGAAGCTGTGTGTAGCTGTTTCTATAGTTACAGGTAAGAGGAAACTGCTGTGATATCTAACGCTATAATTTTTTGCTATCATCTGCGTTATTTGTAGATCCACAGATTCCATTTTTGGTTAAAATGGTTTGAATTGTAATTGTAAGTGGCTCTTGTTGTGACAATGTTCTACAGGTTTGATTTATATCAAAATCCGATTTAGGTATGTAGTAGTATTTGTTATTGTTTGATGTGTCAAACAATGAAAAGTTTCTTTCTGTGGTTAGTTGCGACATTAGAAAAATAGAAAAAGCTTTACCACTTAGTGTAAATAAGATATATGATTTAGTAACATAAATACTTAATAAACAGTGAAAAAATACTTTTAACCATGACCAGCTTCTCCTGGTTCAATTGACCTACTGAGCTCAAATATGCAAGTTGAACAGAACAGATTTATTTTGGTGCAGGCGAGTCACAATTCACACATGAATTGATATGGTTTTATTGCTTTCACTTCCGTAAAGACACCCCAAAGTCACATCTGGTTTGAAGAGTAACAGTCCTGCAAACAAGCCAGAGTCTACAACGATGCAAAGCCAGATCTATATTCTGTGGTAAGTCTAGCAAAAAGCTACAATTCTACAATTCACTTAGCAGATGCTTTTATCCAAAGCGACGTACATCAGAGAGTAAGTACAACACAAAAGCTGATGTCATAATGCTAACATGCTCACAATGACCACACATACCATATACACATACCATATGTTTTAAAGTTTTTAAGTAAAATGTTTATTTTTTTTACTTCTTTTAGTAAGAGTAAAGCTGCATGTAAATGTGATTATTTGTGGAATATTCTAGTTGTAATGATGATGATGCTATAGAAAAGTCAACGGATCACAAACATCTGTGGGTCTATCTTCTGGACGTCATTTCAACTATTAGTGACTTTGAAAGATAATTCAGTCCTAAGTGGCTAGCTGACAAACCAGAAACACAATATACTCTCTTGATGCTGTTTGTAAGAACTAAGAAGCTTTTTTTATTTTTAATTATTATATAGGAAAAGATTAAAAGTAACATAAAAAAAGTTAAAGTTAAACGAGCCTGACTCAGTTAAAAGTGGTTTACAGCAGCTAGGTTCCTGTTCTGCAGTGCGTAAAAACAAAAATCACATCAGACAAAAGACACAAGTAACATCAGACATCGAATTGAAGTGTCTGAGAAGAGATGTGGTATAAAAGACTGGAGTCTGGCGCTCAACAAATCAGTGGATGGATGAATAATTGTCAGTAATTCATCCCGTAAAGTAGCTGGGTGAGGCTATCACAGTATGACGAGATGGCATTGTGGCATAGTGTGAGGTTAAAAGCTTCGGAATTAAGGAGATTTAAATGACAACAAAGACAATTAACCTTATTAACAGGTTTCACAAGTCATTGTGAAGTCATAGCTTTAGTCTGTTATCCATTAGATAGCTCTTCGAAGAAAGGACAATCTTCCACACTGAGGCAAGTTCAAGGCCTGGATCAAACATAGTCTGCTTTCATGATTGATGTGATGTCATTAAAGTGTAAATATGTCTTAAAATTCCTTTCTACTTTTTTTTTAAACAACAGGGTCTGAGTTGGCTTTGTGGGTGAATGATGAAATGTATTTCAGTACTGATAAGAGAATGATCAAGGAGCAGGCGACTGTGCTTCCTTCAGACCTAAGAAGTGGAAGTGAAACAGTCTAGCACTGTTTGTGCTGTTTCATCCATCTTATCTGATGTCTGTGTGGCTGACAGTCCTGCCAAAAGCTGAGGGAAGCAGCTGTGCACTGGTCTTTTCACAGGTGGGGAATTAAATCTACCTGACCTATGTTTTCCAAGCAAACCAGTTATTTTGCAACCTTGAAGTATTCCCTCTTGTAAAATCAAATAATAAGCACTTAAAATGTACAATACAATTTCAGATTAAGCCGTCACCATTGCTTACTTTGTGCCGAGTTTGCTTTAAAGTACAGTCCTCTTTTTCTGGTAACCCATCAGGCCAGGGGGCAACAATAAATCAAGTTCCCAGTTCCTAAACAAAAGTGGACAAGCCGTACAAAGGTGAGATTAAAGGTTTCCTGGAAATTTGCTTTAGTAGACGCCTGCTTGTTTAATTTTCACACTTCTGATTTAAGAGCAGTGCCTAAATGCTTCCCCAAGCTTTTCTTTGGGACGCATGGGGTTTCAGGCCATCACAACTCTTGGCTGTGCAGATACTAAGTGAAGTGTCCGAGGCTTTGTGTCTTATCAGCTGTCAACTATTTTTCATTTTTGGAAAGGGGAAACCACCCATGGTTATATAAAAGAGGCATGTTAATATAAGTATTTATGACAGAAGCAAGGCTGAGGACGAAATCAGGTGGTGAAGTATGTTTCTAAAAGAGAAAATACTTTTTTTCTAAACCACACAAAGTAGTTTGGTGCCTTACCTGGAACTTCCACCAGATGAATCTGCAGCTAGCACAAATGAGAGTGCTACCACTGCGACAGCTCCATGAGAAGGAGCATAGAGTGGAGCTTCTGGTTCAACGCAAGCCAGATCTAAGCTCACAGGGGGCTGCTGGACTTGAAAGTTTCGGCTGTGTAAATTGCCTTTATACACTCTTCATCGTGAGCAAACTGCAGGTCTGTGTTAAAGGAAAAGACGGGATTCTCCCTCCACAACCTGAGTGACAGACGATGGAATGCACGTATTGATGCTTTAAGATCTGTTTCTCTCCACCTCCCCAGTGTGATTGAAGCACTTGATTGCATCATATCAACCTGCAAATTACCCAACGAGGTCTTATCAGAAGTGTGAGGACTTAAGGAATAATTCACATCTTTTACAGCCGTTTCATTGGTAAAAAGTACTGGAACATATTGAAGACAGACATTTGCTACTGCGGAGTGCCAGCTTTTCTTTGGATCAGGAAGCAGGCAACATTGAAGCTCTATACAGCAGGAAATTATTTCCCTGAGAAATGACTGCAACTCGATGTCAGCTGAAGCTCTGTGCATCCCAGCTGAGCTCACCTTCTGATACAGAAAGAGCCAGTGCACTGAAGAAAGGAAAGGTGCACAGGAGACACCTGACGTAACATTTAAGAATTCTGTGAGTTATGTTTCAATTGACAGCATCATTGCACAGCAGACTTCCAGATTTCAGTTAATCAGGGACATTTGCAAATGATTTCAAGGGGAATAGTCCTACTCAAGTTCCAACAGCTGAGTGAAGATTATTTTAAGTAACCTTGCCAACATTTCATATCGAAATATTCCAAGGATCTATTTGAAGATTTTGAAAAACAAATGCACCATCTGAAAAAAATATACAGTGCTATGGACCATTATCACCCATGGAGATGCTAAATAGGATTCATGAAATAAGCTTGAGAGCATTTATGGGCGACATTTGCGTTGCACTGAGAATACTCTCACATTACCAGTACAGTAAGTGGCTGGGGGTGGAGAGATCCTTCAGCAAACTGAAACTCATTAAGAACTATTTGCGCTCCCCAATTAGGAAATTCCAATAACTTAGCAATACTTGTCAATGAAAGTGAACTGGTTAACAGGGGGACTTTAAATAAATTATATGGGACTTACCATCCAGAAAGATTTCAAAAAGATGGCTGTGTAAGAGGCAAAGGCAGAAAGGAGTAGCAGAGAGAATCATTCCCATGATTCCACGACGGCCTCGACGTCATCTTTTGTTATTGTTTTGATTGAGAGCCCCCTGGTGGCTGATTTTACATACTGTGCGTTTAAGTATGAAGCAGATGTTTGTTGGCCTTTGTGTGTAATGCGTAACTTCTGTGTGCGCATAGATTTTGTTATCTCCACATGGAGTTAGTCCTCTCAGCTTAAATCTATGCGTTGATAGAGGACTCAAATGCGTCGATGAAGTGATCCCCCCCTGAGTCGCCTTCAGTGGATGTAACAGAGGCGTTACTGGGGCGAGATGGGATCGGTGGAGCTAGCTGGGAGAACGGCACTGTACGTGTGCATGTCAGAAGGTGTGGAGCTTGCGCTCGCACTGTTTCTCTACAGGTCATGCTTCCCCAACAGACTGGGACACCAAGGTTACGCTGTTGTGCAACCACTATGCATGTACAGAGACAAAATTACAGCTGGGCTTTGTTACGGTGCTGTTGTGGAATCACACTCTAATAAGGGCCAAAGTTGGCTAAATACAATGGACTCAGATTGTAACAAGATAAATATACCATCATATGGTCAGGTTGGAACAACTTTATCAAACCCCAAAGATGAGAATTACAGTGAAACATATATACACAATTTAAAAAACACCATTCGTCCCACTTGCTTAATGTCACACATAGTCCTACAATTCTACAATTCATTAAGCAGAGGCATTTGTGCAAAGTGATGTACATCAAGTAGTAAGTACAACATAAGCAAGGCTCTAGAGAGAGGACACAATGTCAGTGAGTGCCAACTAACAGCTTTAAGTCCAATTAGACACAGGTTTGCCTCTGTGACAGGCAGTGCACAGATGCAAAGCCTTTTATAAAACAAAATATATATCGTCATCATTTTCAACATCAGCAACATCGACAGCTTCTTAAGACAGATCTAATCAGCATCAACAACATCCTAGATATCATCATTGTCTTAATCAATATCATCTTTATCAAACTCATCATCATCATTGTCACTACCATTAAGTACGTAGGTGTCCATGAAAGAGCGGGGTCTATAGAGGTGGAAAGGGACTCTGCAGGTCTAATGGAGGTTGGTCTTCATTTCAACACTCAAAAAAAATCACCACAACTTGATCAATGCGGCTCTAGCAATAAAAACAACTAGTGGCAGGCCATTTAATGGGCTGATTATTCTGAAGAAAGTGGATGTGTCCTGATTTCTTCCTTTTGTCTAACATTATCTGAGGTCTGGGCACAGGTCTAATTTGAATGTGATTTTAAACTTACATGAAGTTCTAATGACTTACATTCACCATGAATTTAATAACCTCTCAAAGCTCACTCTGTAAGACTACATCTACACTCTTCTCCCATACCATTGAAGTGATTGAAACAGGTGTTCTATTAAACCTGACCTCGCAGAGACAGTGATTACTTATAGATGACTGCAGGCATCACAGGATGTATTAGCAGCTAAATTAACAATCCCAATAAAAAAGAAAAAAGAAAACCACTGAGATTTATTACAGGTGCTGTGATACATGACGCCTGAGGCTCTCAATGATGTCGTTTTCAAGCTATCAAGATTTAATACTGCCTAACCCTGAAAGCCTGTTAGTGAACCACAATGACCATAATTCTTTTCTGTTCTGATTTGCTGTGTGTCTGGGCAACAAAGGCTGAAAGGAGAGTAAATTTGAAATGTAGCACATGCTCTGATTGAAGAGAAACAAAAAGGCTGTGCTTCAGTATCATAAGCTTGTACAAGTGACCTTTTCCTTTTCAAGCTCTTTTCCTTTAAGGGTCAGGTTTGATGTAAATATGGTCGAATTAGATGGAAAAGGTTAAATAAATATTTTTTAAAAGTGGGACACTTTGGGGTGTCTATTGTACATTATTAAATCTTAGTACAGTGACATGGACTTTTGTTTTAAAATAAGTCAATTTCTGTCAAATGTAGAATCATGTTGAAAAGAGTGGAAGTTTTTAACTCTGATTATTTCAGCTTGACCTTGGAAAAGTGCCTCAAGCGTTCAACTGTCACTTTGTGTTAAGACTTTTTGCTGATGAGCTCAGCTCCTTCACGCCCTCTATCTCCTTCGTCTCCATCTCATTATCTCTCCAAATATCATAACTTATTCAGAAGCCCCTTAAAAGGCAGACTATACCCTGACACAGCAATATGCACCAGGAGTCCACCAGTTCATTAAAAACCTCATCAAACATGCACAACGCAAACACACACAGAGATACACGATATATACACACAGACGCTTTTTTAGCTCTAGAAGGTGTGCTAAGGTGTCTTTTTTTTATAAACATACTGCATATAATTGTGTGCATGACTATTAAAGAAGCAGTTAAACTTATCAATATTAAGTCCATAAATGTAGGCCCAGAATGACGGTCAAATGTCGTGTCAAAGCTTTAATGCAGCATCACCACCGCCAGGGGCTTTAGCTCCGTTACAATGGGCCTGCTCTCCCTGCTCTACTGCCTGGATGCAAACAAGCACAACGGATTGATGGCAACCTGTTGGAGCAGCACGGCTGGCAGGATAGTCTTCTAAAATATGGAGATGAAATTGTATGTAGGCTGTGTCAGTTTAAACTCTTATATAACTCAACTAGAGCAACGCAATTGATCACAATACCGATAACTCAGAAGGACTGAAGGCTGGCGGAGTTAGCACTGAAAACGTTGACCACACTCAGCACGTGAGAGATTGTTTATCCGTAGATCAATGCAAGTCGCAAAGTGTTACACATTTCAGTGGCTTTTAAAAGAAGACAGTCGATTACATTATTTAAGAAAGTAATAAAATGCGTTTTGAATAGCATTTAAATTAGGTATGGACAACACTTGTACTCATATTTGACTGTTTTTCTGGTGTTTTCTTACCTTAAGAGTAGTCTGAATTCAAATTTTCGATTTAGTCAAAAATAACTCCTAGGAATATACAAAATGTGGCTTACATTTGCGCTGTGGACAGAAACATTGCCTTAACAATTGAAAAAAAAAAAACTTGTGGTCCACAACCTGTTAGCAACCTGTACAGCTTTGGTCCATCACAAGCAGAGCTGCTGACCTGAAATCTTTAACATTATGTCATCAACTGTCACATACCCTGATAATTTACCCTTCTGGCATCCATACTTTAAATTACCCGCAGCTGGCTGCCATGTTGGTTGCATGTTTTTGATGAAAATCATTCGCCAAGAAGGAATGCCTTTCAATAGCCTCTCGGTAGAACAGCTCAGGGCTTTATTAGGGACCATACGCTTGTCTGACAACACACTCCTGATGTTGTGTTAAATCCCATATGCAGCTGTGTGTTTCACAAGGCGTCTTAAGGTATGTGTGTGTGTACGCTGTGAGGTAAACGGCCCTCTTCAGATTTATTACCTGGCCATGAATCATGAACCTTCATTACAGCCTGCTCATTGTGCTCTGAAGGTTAAGCAAACCAATTAGAGTTCCCCACACGCCGTTGGGGTTCTCGGCAACAACTGCATCCCCGCGTCTTGCATTTTAAATAGGCAGGGTAGAGTCGGGATTAAAGACAGAGATGAAAAGAGGATGTTTAGGAAGCTGGGAAGGATTCACGTTTAGCAGTATACAAGAGAGGAGAACGATACTGAAGAGAGGGAGAGAATGAGGAGGATACAGACGATGAGGGAAAGAGAAGGAGCGAAGAAAGAACGAAGCCCTATTAAAAGAAATGACACCGTCATGGTTCACTGAGCGCCTTCACTGGGCTGCAGTAGCCCTGTGCTTAATGCTCTCTGGCTGTCAGCGCCACAGTCAGCAGCACTGCCTGGCTGCTCCCAGGGGAGAGCTGTGTTGGTCTATGCTCTCGATTAACTCGGCTGCTTATTAGAATAGATACTGGGGGAAAGGACTCAGCCAAGCAAAGAGCAGATCCGATGGAGTGCAGACGTGGCACACTGTAATCATAATGTGGAGTGTGATGTTTGAGAGTTCCCCAGCAAGTCTGATGTGCGGTTAAGATATCAGATTCTTTGATTAAAACCCCGTTTGAACTCCACATGCGTTGGTTTTGACTGAGGCCTTTATAATTGTCATCACGTTCACTTTCCGCTGGATGAATGAGCAGTCAGATGTGTCTGTCATGAGAATGTAAAAGCCTGCGTGCATCTGCAGCAGGAAGAATTTTGCACTATGTTTAGACTGAGAAAGCACCAGTCTCTCATTTCTGGTGAGCACCTTGGGGGACTCAGGTACACTGAACACACTGTCAAAGGGAGTTCGGAGAAACAGCTGAAATTACAGCTTTCATCCACATGTAAAGCGGATAAAGGTTTCGGGAAATTGGTTTCTTTTCAGTTCAGTACAAAGAAAAGCCACTGCGTTGGCGGATTGTGACATGGGGAGGTGTTTAATAGCATTTGGCTGTTTTTTTTCTCCCTTCATCTTACTGGATGCAAAATTTTACATGACCTTCTCCTAAGTTGGAATATATTTTAAATAAGCCCCAAACTCTTCTATTGTGCAGGTAGAAGAGGAGACACAGGGACAGAACAAGAGAGAGAGAGAGAAGGAGAGTGATCTCATAAGAGATAGAAGCATGTGAGGCGAAGGCAGGGAAAGGCTGACGCTGGTGGACTAAGTTGCTATATTAGCATTTCAGAGGGAATAGTAGAGGAATCAGCTAGGAGACAAAAAGGCTGGATCAGCACTGACTGACAGAACCCAGGACTAATGTTCAAATGGAAAAAAATCCTCATCCTTTTCCTCCTGCTGCTTGTCCTCCCAGTTCCTCAGTCTGAACACCAGCCAAAAATTAATGACTGACTGACTGTCATTGTCTCAGGCCCTTTTAGCTGGACTCTTTGTTGGTTGAAAGCCAATTTTATAGTTCTAAGAAAATGTTGTCTCAAAATGTTACACATTTTTTGTCCTTAGTGCTCAGGGATAGGTCAAGCCAAGTTGTGCTGCTACCTTTATAGATGTTTTCCAGCACAGTACATGAACTCGAATACTTAAGCTTTACTTGAGCCTTTACATTTTTTGTTGATTTCAAGCAACGTTATGGACAGGTGGGGTGCCAGGGTTCCAAATTCCGATGGGCCCATGTAATTTTGGCTGGGCCTGTTAATATCAGAAGGTACAACGGTTCCTCCTTCTAATAGCCTACCAAGGGAGAACTATCTTATCATTAATGGGCAAGTTACATTGACTTTGAATAAGAGAGAGAGTGGCATTCTGTACTGGGGCTAATTTTCCTTCCTCTGTCATGATGCTTTAGGTGTCTTATGTGAAGCACTTTGAATTACCTTGTTGTTGAAATGTGCTATATAAATGAACTTGCATAAGCTTCCCCTGAAAACTTCAATAATAGAATGCAAAGAACGTCCTCCCCATACTTTATTATGCAAGGGATAGATAGATAGATATGTTATTGGTCCTGAGATAAATTCAAGCAACCATTTGTAGCTTACAAAGCTTTCAATTAATAAAAATAGCAATAGATGACGTAGAAGCTGGCGGGAATTATGGGCGTTATTCTCTCTGCTACTCCACCCCCACTGCCAAAGAAAACAATCTCAAAGTTTACCATAGTCAAGACGAACAGGCGAGCAGACCTGAGAAAGAGAATACGATTACCGACGACGTAATGTATCCAAGAAGAATTTACTCAATGTTTTTATCACAGCAGAACATTAAGCAACAGTGCGACAGATTTCAGTAGCATTTCCTTATCTTATGGCCTGTAATGTAATAGTCAATCTGTAGTATCCCTGATTGGACATTATCGGTGTCTCTGCTTACAATTGTTGCCTCTTTAGGCTGTTTGAGCTGTTCATTTATTTATTTGTGGTGCAGAGGAGTCGTGCTTGTTGTTGGGTTTTTTGTCAGAATAGAGAAGTTACCATGTTAGTTGTGTTTACCCACTACCTGCTCTCCTACCTACCTTTTACTTTTAATACATCATTATTAATAATCCAGCAGTCAATTATGTAGTTCTTAAAAAACGTATCTGAATACATTTTGTTGCAAATACTTTAGTGATTTTAATCAGGTATGGTCACAGAAGTGGCAATTATAAGTTTTACTTGGATTATACTTAAAGGGATACTTGTCGGCGGCAGGAGGACGAGGAGCCCGGGTCAGCTCGAGCTGAGGCGGACTGGTAGTGTCAGTGCTCTCACTGTTTGCCTATGGACACAGACAGGAATTTCCAAGATGCCAATTCCTTCTGGAAGAAATCTCGGAATCAATTGAGGAAACGACCGTATGTGATGTCGTAAATGTCTGTAAATAGAGCACCCTAGCTTCAGTAGGAGTGGCTTGCGGTGCTGTGCATTCTGGGAGTTGTTGTCTAGCCAAAAACACACTTTCTGCCTTTTCTCGGTCAAGAAGGCTACTACAATTTCTACTACATATATGACCCAATTTCAATACAGATTCATGTTTCAACTGGTGAAGTATCCCTTTAACAGAATATTTGATTCAATTTTGACTTCAACAAAAGACTTGAATACGATCATCATTTTTTTCCGATTAGAATAAAAGTAACTGGACTGTTTGTTCCTGGAATAGAAATGCTGTTTTCATTTTATGCCATAACAATAATTTCAATAATTTGTCTTATCAAATGCTTTGATTTTCATATCCTAACTAACGATTTTATTCTTTGCACACCATACAGACATGGCAGGAGAACTTTTCATGGTCTGAACATTTATTTACTGTAGGTGTTTACATCTCAGAACAGTTTACACTTGATGTACATGTTTGCATATCGCTGGCTGAACATGCGTTCTGTTTCATGGTGTGTGTGTGTGTGTGTGTGTGTGTGTGTGTGTGTGTGTGTGTGTGTGTGTGTGTGTGTGTGTGTGTGTAATGTGGCTCCAGGAGCTGACCTGGCAGAGGCTAAACAGTCCAGCCATCCCCTCCCTCAGTCAGATTTGCACGAAAAGAGTGGGGGAACAGGGGTCCTGGCTGATGCCTTGTCAGCTTGACCTGCTTTAAAACGCCACCATCATCAGAGGAAAAGAGCCCTGAAATGCCGGTGAGTGCTGAGCGTCGGCTTCCCATTCACAGCCTTCTGAAAGCCCTGCTCACCGCAACCTGATAACAGCTCCAGGTGTCTGGATGGGGGCCAAATAGCCGCCTATAGTCTTCACTCTGTTAAAATGCTCAGTCCTGGCACCAATGTTTTGACTCTCCCCCTCCTTCACTTTCTCCCTGCTTTCATTCTCTCTTTCCCACAGTTTTCCCTCTGCCTTTTTCTTCATGCCTGGGAAATCTTTGTCAAAACCTTCCTTTAAATGGAGATTTTGTTGATAAATATGTTTACAGACTTCCTGGACAAAGTCTCTTTAGTCTGCATAGTCTTCGGTTTAGTGCCTTTCAGTATCAGTTAAACTGTATGCTAAGAAGATGGTCATATTTACTGCAGTCAGCAGCTTTATTACGGCTTATATTGCTTTGGAAGCTGCTGTTTCCATATGATTTTTTTTTAGTAATGTCACATCTCTTGGGATAGTTTGTATAAGGCAAGGTAAAACCATTAAAGTTATTTTTCCTGCAGCTTTATGGCCTTTGTACATTATTCATGTGCTACAGAGCGGGTCATTCTGGGTAAATTACTTTGGGGCATCCCTGTTCTCATATTAAACCTGCTGGATGTGTGTATTTCTCTTATTTTTGGGCTTTGTTGAGCACAGCACAAAGTTTTCGTTGCAATTGCTAGATTATGGATTTGATAACCTGTCCTTGAGGCAGTGGGTCTTGGTGCAGAAATAATTCTCACAACTAGTCCCTGCTTCTATTCCCATAATACAGTTATGTAAGTGGTCAGACACTAACTCCTTTTAATGTCTCGCTGGAAAACAGCAGTCACCAAAGTTCATCCACTGAATTCAAAACTTGCTCTTTCCTTTCCAGCACCACTAACTACAATGCAAACGCTCAGAAGTTCTCCCTTCATTGAAGTTATGTGACTGGAATATGAGAGTGCTAGTTTGACCCAGTTTCTCTATTATCACGAAATGTTGAACATGCAAAAATGGGAAGATGAGCCTTAAAATGAGAAGACCCAGTATATGTCCTGGAGGCATATGGCTGGAATGAAATCCACCCAGCCCAGGCAATCTGTTGCCAGGAAAGGAGACATTCAAGCCTTTTTTGATATATTCATGTTGCAATCGTCCACCGAGCACCTGCCTTCATCTCGTCCCTGCCTTCACTTGCTTCTTGGCTTACTGTGCGGATGGCTCCTGTCCCACGGGCCCTCTGGCAGTCCAGGTAATAGAATCATGAGGCAGGTATCAGTTAGACAGAGAGGATGTGAGCGTCTCTTCTCTGTGTGACTAAAGAGGGTGATGAGATGTGTCCTCAGCTTCCTGTCAAATTATAACCCCCACAGTGTCATCATCTCTGACTCGGACACCTTCAGTTGGTGGATGAACCGATAAGGTAAGGTCATTACCTATGAATATGATAATGTTGGGATAAAAGTAACCCATACCAATTTTAAAGCAGCTGCCAGCTCTTTAATTCTGGGTCTTTACAGTAGTTCTCACTTCCTGCAGTACAACGGGGGCAGATTTAATGGTGCAATTAAAATACTGTCAAAGATTTTCACTTGTGTTTGAATTCAAATTCTAGTGTTGGCAGCCTAAAAGACAGTAAGTGCTTATTTGGGATGAGCTCCTGCACAGCTGGGTCCTGGGAGATGGTGGCATAACATTAATAAATTGTTTGTGACTCACCATTTGCCAAAGCCCTCCCTGAACAGTGATTGACCTGTCATAGCTTAGCCACTCTTTGCAGGCAGGGAAGGTCTGTCAGTCTTTGGATTTTTAGGAAAAGTGATGTGTATAAGACTTGCAGTAGGATCATGTCACGAAATGGGAGGGAAGAGCTTTAATTTTTATTTTTCCAAAACAACTAACAAAGCTGAAAATGTGAACTATTGACTCTTTTGTCTTTGTCAAACATGTCACTATAAATGTTGATGTAGTAGAGCTGAATAGTATTGGGGGGGAAATTACATTGCAATATTTTTTATTTCTGCAATATGGCTATATATATATATATATATATATATATATACATTTTTTTTTAAGATTCATTTTTGGGCTTTTTGGCCTTTATTTGAGAGACAGGACAGTGGATAGAGTTGGAAATCAGGGAGAAAGAGAGTAGGGAATGACATGATGGAAAGGAGCCACAGGACAGATTTGAACCTGGGCTGCCCACTTGGAAGCATACAGCTTCCATACATGAGGCGCGCGCACTAACTGCTGTATCACCAGCGCCCCCAATATGGCTATATTCATGAAAAGGAAATCATACCAAAAATGAATGCAGTGTTTTTCTTGTGTCTTCAACTCAAGTTAGAGAGACAATGTGGAGTTAGTTCTGATAGAGTAACACATTTCTTCAACAACTTTGCATATAAACTTGTGGCTCACAGTTGTGTTACTATAAATGGTAAATGGAAATGGACTTGAGCTTGTAGAGCGCTTTTCTAGTCTTCTGACTCATCAAAGCGCTTTTACACTGCATGTTACACCTACCCATTCACACACTGATGTCAGAGGTTGCTATGTAAGTAAAGGGACCATCAGCAGTAATTAATCCATTCATACGCCACAGACGATGTGGTGGGAGCAATTCATTATGGTTAAGTGTCTTGAACAAGGACACGTCGGACATGTTACAGCAGAAGCTGGGGATCGAACCCACAATCTTCCGGTTGAGAGACGACCAATATGTCATCAACCATTTTTATCAATGTTCAAAGTCTGCTTGACTAACCCCATGATTGTACTTTCCAATAAGTGGTGGGCAATTCTGTAATATCAATAACAATGTACAAAGTAATATACAGGCCAGCGAAAAAGATCGCAAATGATCCACATGTGCAACTTGAAAGGGATCGACATGCTGAGTGTCAATTCTCCAGAAATAAATCACTCTGTTCTGTTGGAGGCAGCTGAGACTGTCAAGACTGCTTAAGGTCTGTTTCAAATGATTGGAACATTTGCATTCACACATCTTTCTCCTGCTCTGGAAAATATTTGGATAAGTTCAAAGATAGCGTTATGTTCGCGGGAACATTGGTTAGTCCTCAGCCTTAAAGTCCTTTCTCTTAAAACATAACTTTTGAAAAGTAAGAACAGATGTATACTTTCCAACAATGCAGCATAAATATCACATCTATCGTATTTCAACAGTCAAACTGAATTATTTTGACATAACTGAGGAGTCTGACCTTTGTCTTTCTTTCTTGTCTTATAATGGATGTTCTATGAGTCTATACTGTTTGCTGTGGCGTGCTGGGGCAGCAGGCTGAGGGTAGCGGACTCCAACAGACTCAACAAACAGATCCGCAAGGCTCAGTGACGTCATCGGGGTGGAGCTAAAAACAAGTCAGCTTGAACATTTTAAATTCCCAAAGGGGTGTTTCCAGACAACTCATGGAGCTAGCAGGCTTTAAAATCTGCTAGCATTCTATCTGTCATCAAAAAAAAAAGAAGACACGTAAACAGGCCTGCATATTATACCTTTTAACTATCCATAAAGCCTGTACTGAGTTGACAAAAAGGGCGTTCAAGTGTGCTGCTCGCTCTTCTTGGAATCGGTTCCAAGATACACTAAATCTTCCAGAGCTGTTTTCCTTGGATGTTTTTAAAGGTCTTCTTAATAATCTGGAGGCAGGCTTATCTGACTGTAGATTTTTTAATTAACTTAGTATTACCCTTTTTATGTCTACACTCATGCACTTTAACTGATGTCAATACTGTCCATTTACAACTCTGTTTTTGCACATTTACATTTAATCTTTCATATTTAAGACTAGTAATGCTTAGTTAAATCCTGGTTGTATATATTCCTATTCTTAGTTTTGATATTTTTAGTGCTTATTTACTTTGTATTTAATATTATATCGTGTTTAAATTTGCTAACATTGTGTTTTTTTCTCATACTGTGTGTTTGGACAACCTGCTGCTGTAATGCCACAATTTCCCAGTTTGGGATCAATAAAGTAATTCTATTCTATTCTATTCTATTCTATTCTATTTTTTTTGATCGCTTTGTTGTTGATGATTTATGACTCATTTTGATGAATGGTTCATAGATTCTGTGATTCCTTTATTTATGTTCAGTGTTTTATGTCTGAAACCCTGTATATTGTGCTGCTGCCTGTCTTGGCCAGGACACTTTTATAAAAGAGATTCTTAATCTCAATGAGACTTTTCCAGGTTAAATAAAGGTCAAATAAAATATTTAAAAAATGTCCACCTCTGTTTCAAAAATTGCTAAGGATTTCAAGTGGTGAAGCTGCAGTTGTTACCACGGGAAAGTGCATGTGTTTAGTTGAGAACAGAAATCTTTGCAGGCGTTGCAGTACTAACTGAGGGCGACAGGGCAAACATTTAGTCAATTCATTCAATACACAAAGCGTTTTGGGCAAAACAAATAGCCTTATTCAAAGTGACACAGCGATGACAAGTTCTACCTGAGAAGTGGGATCTGCTTTAGTGGAATTTCTAGTTATTAGCTTCAAATCAAACATTTAGGCCGGAGTAATGGATGGAGATTTAGTTGTCAGAGGTGGATGGAAAGTCAATGCAGGCTAATAAAGATGTGCAAAAAAATCTAGATATATAACAAATGTCTGCCGACACACATGCCCGCATGCTTGCACAGACTCACACACACACACACACACACACACACACACACACACGCACACGCACGCACACACGCACACACACACACATATACACACACACACACACACACACACACACACACACACAGACTCTCTCCCTGTGCTTCCTGTGGCTCCAGCTGTAAGTTTCAGTCTGTATCTGTGCTTCTGTTTAGTCCCTGATCCCTCTTGTCTCACGCCTTTCACTGCAGATGGTGCAACAAACAAACTGCAACCGTTTGAGTCATGTTTCATAAAGGCAGGCTAATTATTGAAAACATATTCTTTCACCCATTTGCTTTGAATAACTTAAATGAAAGCGTTTTTGGAGCCTTATTCCCTTTGCGTCATTGAAAATTTCGTTTTCAGAGTCCAATTTACAACAGGGTGTGCCAATGGAAGCTTTAGGCGTGCATGCCGCAGTAGGAGGGTGGTATCAAGATTAATTTACACTTGTTTTGTCAGCACAGGATGCTAGTAAAGAAAGCTCATTACAATCAGCTGGGTTTTGTCACAGTCCGGGCTCCCTTTAATCTCCCATAGAGAAGCCGAGCGACACCGCCTCCCTGAATATGCATTGATGATAATTGCATGATTTATGCATGAGCGTCATGGCACCTTAAGACTTCCCCGCCCATTGAAAGTCCTTGAAATTCTGAAATGAGAGCTTTTGTCACTGTTCTGAAAATGTTTGTTTAATGCACTCGTCTGGGCCGTTCTTGACTGTGTTGAATGCAAACGTGTTTAACCAGGAAGTATAAGATAACAGCGGCTTGTTTGTTGTAATATTTACCAAATGCTTGTACAAAGTCATTAGGAAACATGTTGTAAGCTGTCATGTTGCTTTTAGCCTCATTCAGTATTCAGTTTGTTGCATGTCTCTGTTTGACTTTGGGCTTTCACTGACATTACCTGCAATTAGGCGGTCGTAATTGCCCGACTTGCCAGCAACAGCCTGGAATTAGGATGGTGATTGATGGTTATGTGAGAGTCACTGCTGTGATGTGTTCACCGACCTTCCAATGAGCTCATCTCATGAGGGTGTTGACCCTTCGATAAACACAGACAAGGCCTCCCAGACAAACCCAGTGTGTGCGGCTGCTGTGACGTGCCCCAGAGTTTTCCTGTTAGCCCTGATAGATGATGATGATGCACTTTTCTGCTTACTCCGTCCACAAAGTTCCAGTCTTTGACTTACAACAACTTGACTCTGGTGTATGCTGTGCCTGAAGAACGTTTAAATTAAGTAAAAAACACTGTTAGCTGCAAAAAAAAAATATCATTATTGATATAAAAAGTACTTATAATTCAGTAAAGGTTTCAATGTGATTCATATTTGTATTTATGCATTCATATTTAAGTGTATGTTTCATTACTGTAACAGGTCACGGTGAAACTAGTTTGTGCTTCATATAATTCATACTTCAATCCAGAGAAATTCAACTTATTTCTAAACTGATAATGCGAATATTAGTTGTCTTTCTTTGCAAAATAATTTGTAATAAAATCAGATAGATGTGTAGTGACACTTAAATATTTCCCTTTGTAATAGGGTAGACATGCTAAACCTCATAATTCAGGTCCCTAATCTTCAAAGCCAAATTCTAAACATTGTGTATATAATTTGTGTCATAACGTAGATTAAGTTCATTTCAGAGAGATATGTCTAATAATCAAATACAGCTGTGTTGAATTGCTTTTCGCTGACTTCTTTATTTTGTTAATGTCTCTTGTAAAATGCATCAGATAACAAAAGAGAGGTGAGGCGAGAGGCATGAGGTGAGTCGCAATAAATCCTGTCCCACAAGTTGAGGCCTGGGCAAAAAGACTCATCAATATTTTGTTATGTGCAACAAAGTCTTAATACTCATCAACATCACTCACAGCAGCTGGGCAGATCGCATAGAACTTGATTTTTGAGCTGCCTGCTGCGGATGTGTCAAACGATAAAGAGTTATGCT